AGACGAGATGCTGAAGATCCCGTACCAATCCGTTGTTAGAAGCTTGATGTACGCAATGGTTTACACTAGACCTGACTTGGCATATGCTGTTGGAATGGTAAGCAGGTATTTGTCAAACCTCGGCAAAGAGAACTGGGAAACAGTGAAGTTGATCTTCAAGTACCTCCGAAAAACGACCAACTTATGCCTTTGATTTGGAGACGGCACAACCGAGTTGCAAGGCTACTCAGATTCTGATTTATGGGGAGATTTCGACTCGAGGAAGTCGATGACGGGATATATGATGAAATTTGCCGGAGGAGCTGTCTCTTGGAAATCAAGACTTTAAAAGTGTGTGGCACTATCGACAACCGATGCTGAGTACATTGCCGCTACTGAGGCAAGCAAAGATATGCTGTGGATGAAGAAGTTCCTCATGGAACTCGGCCATGATCAAGACAAGTACGAGCTGGGTTGTTACAATCAAAGCGCAATCCATCTTGCAAAGAATTCGACCTATCACTCCCGCACTAAGCACATTGATGTGAGATATCACTGGATCCGGGATGTGGTGGAAGGTGGAGAGCTCGAACTCGTCAAAGTGCACACTGACCAAAATTGGTCCGACATGATGACAAAGCCGGTTCCAACTAGAAAATTTGAAGACTGTTGTGAAGGAGCCAGGTTGATGCTGAAGCCGACGCATTGAAGTCGGAGGGGGAGATTTTTTGGGCTTCCTCCTTCAATGCTAAGCCCAAACCCATTGAGAGGTTTCCTAAAACTCCTAAACCATAAACCCTAAACCCTAGATTCCACCTCCTCTATATAATCATTAGTTGTGGGTGGAGGCTAGGTTAGAGAAAAAAGATTCAAAAAAAATTATTTGAGAGATTTGTGAGCAAAGCTTTAAGCTTTGTATTTGAGAGATCTCTAGAGAGAGTTTGAGTGAAACATCTCTAGGAAAGTTTGATTATCACCATTGTTAGAGAGGTTGTGTTAACCATCACTTTGGTGAATCTTGATTCTTTGTACCATTATTTTCATAGTGGATGTTTGAACTGGACTAGGTCTCGTGGGTTTTTACTTCTTTATTAGAGAATATTTTTCCACGTTAAAACTGCTTGTTTTTGTAACACTCGGTCGCTTCAAGAATCAACGACTATCCCCACATACTAACACGAGACTTTTTAGTGTGTTTTTTCCTCACTCGCACACTTCTCGGGAAAACTTTCCAAGAGGTCACCCATCCCAGAATTGCTCCAAGTCTAGCACGTTTAACTAAGGAGTTCTTCCGTTCCGGGCTACCGAAAAGTAGATGCATCTTGTTAGTATAGGTAGTACCAATTAATTCTTATAAACTATCACAAATTGTGCAGCCTTATACCTGCACAACCTTTGGAATCCCTCTCTTTCGAGTGTCGATTCGATTCATTCATGCATGTAACCCCCCGCTGGAAGCCTGTCAGGAGCCGCTCCTTGTCCGTGCCTCTTTGCACCGGCGATCACTCCCCGCCCTCGTCAGCGCTTGGGATGTTACATGCCCACCAACTTCTGCCTGGTTCGTCCTCGAACCACATCGTACTGGAAGAGAGGCCCTGCTCTGATACCACTTGTAACGCTCGGCCGCTTTAAGAATCAACGACTATCCCCACATACTAACACGAGACATTTTAGTGTGCTTTTTCCTCACTCGCACACTTCTCGGGAAAACTTCCCAGGAGGTCACCCATCCCAGAATTGCTTCAAGTCTAGCATGCTTAACTATGGAGTTCTTCCGTTCCGGGCTACCGAAAAGTAGATGCATCTTGTTAGTATAGGTAGTACCAATTAATTCTTATAAGCTATCCCAAACTGTGCAGCCTTATACCTGCACAGCCTTTGGAATCCCTCTCTTTCGGATGTCGATTCGATTCATTCATGCATGTAACCCCCCGCTGGAAGCCTGTCAGGAGCCGCTCCTTGTCCGTGCCTCTTTGCACCGGCGATCACTCCCCGCCCTCGTCAGCGCTTGGGATGTTACAGTTTTTCTCTTTCTCTCTCTCCCATTTGTTTTTGTTTTTCCGCTGCGCTGCCCGACCTGGTGAAGTTCAGGCCGATGTAAGATTGCCGAGATCCAAAATCCAGGATCTTGTTGATTGACTTCCGCGAAAAGGCTTCTTAGCCGAGTTGAGGAAACCGAGTTCTCAACAGGACTGTGGAGGCTTTGTACTATTATAGGCCTCGTGTTTATTTTATTTATTTTATTGTAACTTAGGGTTTTTAAGCTAATAATTATATTCCCCAAGTGCGATAAGGATGGTATAATAAGATATTATCGGATGTAATCCCCATTAGGTGAATCATGTAAATATGTGTCTCTATTTTCTTTCCTTTTCTTGTTCGGTCCCAACTGGGATGAGTTCCTTTCTGAATTGGATTTTTGGTTCTTATTTTGTTTCTTGGTGAATTTGATCGAGCGTTTGGTAGAGAAAAAAAAAATTTACAGGAAAATTTTCGGGAATATCTTGATCGAGCGTTTGCCAAAATCTTTTCGAGAATGTTGAATTAATTTTATTGATACTGTGTGTTAATTTTCTCAACACATGAGAAAGAAACAATTCCACCCTTTTAATGATAATCTTCTCCAACCATTTTACATAGAAAAACAAATGTTCCGAAAAAAAATTTCCAACCATATTTTTACTTCACCTCCTACCAAATATAGGCAAATAATTTTTCTCACGCCATTTTCCTAGGAATTTTTTTTTTTACTTCCTACCAAACACCCCCTAAAAACAAACAAGGATGGAAATTCCATGATAACTTGACTTTCCCTTTTTATTGTTTAGGCATAAGAACTGAGTTGCAGAGACTTTCAACATTTTATTTTTCACCTCAGAAGATGGATTTTTGACTCTCTGATTAGCTTAGAGTGCAATTTATATAGAAAGTGTTATTTGTGTTCTTTGTTGGTAGCCTAGTGGTAATGGATACACTGAGGCAAAAACAAATCACTAACAACGTTATATTGCTACAGCAACAGCTATTGATAATCTGAACACATAAAAGCAGCTCATCATGAAATGAAATTTACTGAAATTTTAACAGATTTTACTTCTTTTTTTTTTTTTTGTCTCCTCCTTCTCTATTTTTTTGTTTTCTTCCTTTTTCTATGTAATATTCAGAAGTGTGTTGTGTCAAATAATCCCCCTATGCTATGTAGTATTCCCTCTCATCCTTCACAGGTCAATTTTTTTTTTCCAGATATTTGTAACTGATGCTAGCTTCCTTTTATCATTTCTGTGACCTATCTCTTTTGCCTCAATTTGGCAGGATGACATATTCATGCATACTCCTTTTGAATTTTTCTTGCGGCTTGACTCTTGATTTTTTTCTTAATTGCTCTTGTCTTATATGCTTAAAGATGAGCATGCTTGTGGGATAGAAACAAGATTGATCGCCCCATTACAAAAAAAAAAAAAAAGAAACAAGATTGATCGAAAAATTTGGATTTTACTGGCAGGTTGTGTACATGAGAAAGAGAAGGCTCATTTTTTCTTCACACTTCAAGGGTCCAAAGCTGATTCAGACCAAAATTAGTGTTCACATAATCACATTGTTATTTCTAAAAGGCTTGTTTTTATTTTATAATAGTTTCCAAAACACACAAAACTGTTTTCATTTAATGTTTTGTTTTCATGCACAACTTCCTAGTTTCATTTAAATAAAGAAAAGCCGGGGAGAAGAAAATTCCAATTCTGTTCTCACCCTACAATTGAATGCACGTCCTTGTAGAGACTTTGCCATAATGATGAAAATGAAACTTGTACACAGGTATGAAAATTTCTTATATACTTTGTGTTGCAACTGTTAGAATGTACATAATTCTTACATATACCAAGGATAAAGACATGATTCTCAGATATACCAAGGAAAAAGACATACCTAGAAGCATCTTTTCGCAAAGTTTAGGGTGACTTCTCTGTCTGGGCCTTTTTTTGTGTAGGGAAAAGAGGACCAACCCTAATATATATTCAATTGTCTTTAATCTGATACTTCCATCGTTCGTAAACCAGATGAACGCTTGAGATCAAATGCATTAACTTTTGTAACCGTAACGATTATTGCTTCTAATTAAAAGCATTAATCTTATAACCGTTAATTAGTAATTGGGCCACTTTAATAGTCATGACTCATGATATTTCTATCATGTGGGCGTTACATTTCTAACAGCAACATCCAGATATGATTTAAAAACATTTTGTTTTCAATATTATGCAGTGTTATTGGAATACTGTGATACTATTACTATCATATTACAAAGCTACTAGTAGTCACTTAAAATAACGCACTATCAACAAAATAACAAACTAGCTTCAACTAATTAACTAACCAATGAAAATGGTTGGTAACACATTCTGCTTAGGTTCCTTGCAAAAAAATCATCGGTTTTTGCTTGTTTGCAGCTTTCACTTCCATTCTGATTCGTATGTATGTAACTGACTTGTGCTTATCATGTTGTTCCATTTTTTCAATTGTGTTCACTTAACGTTGCTAGATGTGGAATACTGATTTTTGGTATTTTATTCCCATTGAGAAAACCTCGGTTTTGTTTCTTGACATGGTCACATTCACGTACCTTACTGGCCTAAGATCCCCTTCGCTTAAATCAATCATTCAATCCTCTTTACTCCTCACCCTTCTATCGTCCATTCCTCTTTAACAAGTCCCCATCAACAAAGCAAAAACAACCCTTTCCCTCAACTTGTTCTAAAATGCAGCTCACCAATACAATAAATTATACTCAACTAGTCAACCATCCAATAAATATACCTCAAAATCCAAAACTCAATCCCCACTATCCCTACTCATAACAATTTAATAATTAACCAAGTTGTACACATATTAGTTGCCAATGCTGAAAATACTCAATATTCAAGGTGAGAACTGCACTCACCACAGACTTTGGAAACACTATAAAAACCCCCCAAAACCCATCACCACCATTACAATTATCATTCAAGCATTCACCATCATAGCCACCACGATCAGCAGCAATGACTAACACCCAGAAGAACACTCCTTTTATCTTCCCACAGGGTCATTCCACTGTCCTACCTGATCCCTCCAACTTCTTCTCCTCAAACCTTGTTTCAAATCCACTCCCTACAAACTCTTTTTTCCAAAACTTTGTCCTAAAAAATGGTGACCAACCCGAGTACATTCACCCTTACCTCATCAAATCCTCAAACTCATCCCTCTCTCTCTCATACCCATCTCACACTTTCACCTCTGCTTTCATATACCAAGTCTTCAATGCTGATCTAACCATCTCTTCCTCTGAACAAAAAACCAGTGAGAAACACATAATCTCTTCATGTAGTGATCTCAGTGTCACCTTGGATATCCCTTCTTCCAATCTGAGCTTTTTCCTTGTAAGGGGAAGTCCTTTTCTGACTGTGTCTGTAACCAAACCAACCCCTCTCTCCATCACCACCATCCATGCCATTCTTTCTTTCTCTTCAAATGATTCCCTTACAAAGTTCACATTTCAGTTTAACAATGGTCAAACATGGCTCCTATATGCTTCCTCGCCAATCAAGTTGAGTCAAAGCCTTTCCGAGATCACTTCTGATGCATTTTCTGGCATAATTCGGATAGTTTTGTTGCCTGATTCCGATTTTAAACACGAGGCAGTTCTTGACAAGTTCAGTTCTTGTTACCCTGAGTCAGGTGAAGCTGTGCTCAGAGAACCATTTAGTGTTGAGTATAAGTGGGAGAAGAAAGGATCAGGTGATTTGCTACTGTTAGCACACCCTCTTCACCTTAAGCTTTTGTCTAACAGTGATAGTGATGTCACTGTTTTGGATGATTTTAAATATACAAGCATTGATGGGGAGCTTGTTGGTGTTGTTGGGAATTCGTGGGTTTTGGAAACAGATCCTGTTTCTATAACTTGGCATTCTTCTAAGGGTGTTATAGAAGAATCCCATGATGAAATTGTTTCTGCACTTTCTAAGGATGTTGATGGTCTAGATTCATCAGCAATAACAACAACTTCATCTTATTTCTATGGTAAATTGATTGCAAGGGCAGCAAGGCTAGCATTGATTGCCGAAGAGGTTTTCTTCTTTGATGTGATTCCAAAGATTAGGAAATTTTTGAAGGAAACCATTGAGCCATGGCTTGAAGGAACTTTTAATGGGAATGGATTTCTATATGATCAAACGTGGGGTGGCATTATTACCAAACAAGGGTCCACTGATACTGGTGGTGATTTTGGGTTTGGAATTTATAATGATCATCATTATCATTTGGGATACTTCCTTTATGGAATTGCAGTGCTTGTTAAGATTGACCCAGCATGGGGTAGGAAGTATAAGCCTCAAGCCTATTCACTCATGGAAGATTTTATGAACTTGAGCATAAGATCAAACTCCAATTATACACGTTTGAGATGTTTTGATCTTTATGTATTGCATTCTTGGGCTGGAGGGTTAACTGAATTTGCAGATGGAAGAAATCAAGAGAGTACAAGTGAAGCTGTAAATGCATATTATTCTGCAGCTTTGATGGGTATGGCATATGGTGATGCCAATCTTGTTGCCATTGGATCAACACTTACAGCATTGGAAATGCTTGGAACTCAAATGTGGTGGCATGTGAAAGAAGGAAGTAATCTTTATGAGGAAGATTTTACAAAAGAGAATAGGATAATGGGTGTTCTTTGGGCTAACAAGAGAGACAGTGGACTATGGTTTGCTTCTGCTGAGAGGAGAGAGTGTAGGCTTGGCATTCAACTCTTACCTATTTTACCTATTTCTGAAGTCCTGTTCTCAAATGTTGATTATGTTAAGGAGCTAGTGAAGTGGACATTGCCTGCTTTGAATGGTGAGGGTGTTGGAGAAAAATGGAAAGGGTTTGTATATGCCCTTGAAGGGATTTATGATAACAAAGGTGCATTGCAGAAGATTAGAAGCTTAAATGGTTTTGATGATGGAAACTCATTGACTAATCTCTTGTGGTGGATTCACAGCAGAGGTGAAGGTGATGAATAAATGGTTTTGATATTTAAAAATAAAATGAGATTAAAGTTAAAAACTCAATAATTTCATGCGTTGTATCTGACTTTTGTTTTTCAATTGATGTCTGTTTCTTATAATTCCTTATATGAATAATAATTGTGGACCTTATCTTTAATTTTGGTACAAGACTTTGCTTCATTGTCCGTATGGTGGCATGAGGACTTTTCTGTGTAACGTGTAAGCATATTCCAAGCGGTTGCCGACCTTCACTTTTTAATGTCGTTTTTGGCAATTTTTAATATTTAAATTATTGCCTGCGGCTACTTATAAAGTTATAACTTGTAAGTACAATCATAGAGTCGGCCCAAAAAAATATATTATTTATGTACAAGTGAAAACATAATGGGGAGCGACTGAGATTACTTTTTTTATTTTCAATTTGTTAAAAAGAATGGGGAAAAAGAAAACAACCTTAGAAGACACTCGTCAGGCATTTGGTTGAGGAGAAATTTTTTTAATACTAGAAAAATGTAATTACTAGAGAAATGGTTGGAAAGTGAGTTTGGTAGAAAAATATAAAAAAAAAAAAAGTTGTTTGATTGGGAAAAAATTTACCGAGAAAATTTGGCAACTTGAGGGTATTTTGGTCTAGGTCAACTTTCACCTTTTACCTTTTATCCATCTAACTAAGGAAAATCACGTCGAAGAAAGCTTTCTAAACAGTCATAATTACTCCATTTCAAAGGCCAAATTTGAATAGCTATGCAATATGAATAGATGGAAAAATTTTAAGAAACTCTCTACCAACAAGGAAATCAACAATTGCCAGCTTGATTTGGATGGAAAATTTTTAAGAAACCCCAACCACAAGGAAATGAAAAATAGCATGTGGGGGAATTGAGGTAACTAATAGCAGCCCTGAAAATACCAATAGGTTTAGCATAAGCGAGTTTTAAAATATCACTATGTTTTATAACACCATAAAAGATTTTGATGATAGGAATTTATTTATCAATATCTAGAGACAAATGATTTTTTTTTTTTTTTATAAAGAGTTTTTAGATAAAAATTTATATTTGATAATACATACATTCTAGGATGTGCCTGTTTAATAAATAGAGAGATTTTTTCTTCCAATTTTTTAATTCTGATAATACATTATACAATATATGTATTTAATAAATAATGTGCACGAGAATGAATAAATGAATAATTTTTTTTTTACAATTTTTTTCCTTGAGTTATTGGTTTATTTTCTAGAAGAGAAAAAATAAATTAAATTTATCAAACCTAATTATTAATTATTTCTATTTTTTAGATTAAAAATTGGAAGAAGAAAAAAAGAAACATTATCCTAAGTGAGTAGAAAATGACAATATGTTGTGTTTTAATTATAAAGGTGAAAATTTTGGGTTGGTGGGTCTTGTTTGAATTCACACAAATACATTCAACACAAACATAACATAAATAATTATTCATGTGTCAAAACACTCGATACTAATACGATTCATTTACTATTTAGGATGACACAACACAATAACTTGTCAATTTTACTTTTCAAATGAAAACAATTTAAATAACTTCAAATTAAAAAATAAAAGTGGATAAGTGGGATAAATATCTATTTATATAACTATTTAATTTAACAGAAAAATATTTCTGCAGTTACCTACATTTACTTTCAAAACGATGTCATTTTGGGATTGAAAAATTTAAAAATTATAATTAAAAAGACTATAATAACTCTAAAATACATTAAAATTACAAAAACACTATGATTTTCGCCCCAAAACGACGTTGTATTGAGCTTAATGTAGATAACTTATCTGCAATGACAGCAGAAAAAGTGAATCCTTAATTTAATCGGTGGTCACCAACACGAATACTCATAACACGAATGAAAATATAGGTTGAGACGAACACAAAAAATCAGTATCGTATTTGAAATGTGTTGAAAATTGACACTCCTAATTTTAAACGATATCCTTGTCGTTTTTTCATTTCTTTTTTATTTTTGGTTATGGAAGGATTAATTATGTAAAAGATCCAAAATGGAAAACTAGAAAGTTTGGTGGTGTTTGGTTGAAGAGATCTGAAAATTTCCCCATGCAAATGAACTTGGCATTCCAGAAAGTTGTTGTTTGGTAGAGAGATTCATTGAAGTTCCCCATCTATGCTATTTGCATAGCATTTTCCCATTTAGTTGTAGAAAGCCAGCCATTGGCACTGTTTAGAATCTGAAGTTGGTGGTGGTTTTTTGGGGATAGCTGAGTAAGTTGGAAAATGAGAAAATAAAGCAGACCAAAATACCCCTTCGTAATCCTTCTCCTCTTTCTTTCCACCGTCTCTACGCAGCAGCAGCCACCTGCAACCACCAACAGCCGCCGCGATGGTCACCATGGACAAAGAGGCGGGCACCACTGTGGCAACCCAGGGAAATTTTTCGATTACGTTCGAAGCAACAACCCCACAGATGCTAGAACTCCACCATGTGATGCACCTGCCCATGCTCCAATTGTAAAGATGACATGTACTAAAATATTGATATCTTCAAAAAATGAATTGCTCAACTTTGTACTTTTACTTACTGAAATTTTAATCAGTTAGCAAGAACTTCGCAATTCCATTTTTTCTTTTTTTTCACGTTTCTCTCTAATTTACAATTATTTTTATTTTCCCAAAAAATTTAAAAATAGGGATATTTTCGTAATTGTCACTTATTTTTCCATTTATATTTTACCTCTAACCAAACTTAAATTTTATAAATCTTACCTAATTTGCTCGATAAATTTTTTTCCAACCAAACAGCTTTTTTTATATTTTTCTACCAAATTCACTTTCTAACCATTTTTCTATCAATTATATTTCCCTAATATTGTCAAGGTAACATTTCAAATAGACTAGCTAAACCGTTAAGCATAATAGACAGATTACTAAATCCTCGAGGACAGCCCCCGCGAACATTTGTCCTTTTCATATCAGGCCTTTGTATGTTCATTAACTTTTTATGATCATTATTGTTTATCAGGCCTTTGTATGTTAGTTAGAGGTACACAACAGAGTGATTAAAATTCGTACAACGGATTAGCAATCCCACGCCACGAACTACGAGCCTTTGTCCCATATCTCATGAACTTGTATAAAATTGTTAAAACCTGAATTTATATATCTAAAATTGATCGATGAGAATCATGTTTAAACTTGTATAAAAACTCATTTAATAAAAAGGTATTAGGCTCCAATTCAAAAGCCGGGTCTTAATATTATTATCATAAATTATATTCAATTTCTATTCAATTCGAATATAAATTGAATTCTAACCGACTGGCCTAATATACTAACTTTTATTTTTATTTTATATTTTTTACACTACTTATAATAGTCCTATCTCTTTTCTCAACTCATTTCCCTCCTTTTTGTTGGTTAAACAGACTTTTTGAAATATTATGTTGTTTGTATATATATTGAATTTATGAATTTTTATGAAATTATTAGTGTTGTTGATTGTATATTATGTTTGGATAAATATTTATTATCTTTTTTTTAATAAGCTAACCAGCTAAACCAGACTTTATTTTTTGTAAATAAGCTAGGTCACATGTCGATAATTATATTCATAACAGGTAATAGGCTAGGTTAGGCTGGCACTTTTAAACACAAACTTAACATTTAAGACTAATGGTCGGCCGGCTCGGCTCGTTAACACCTTCAAGGGTGATTATATATCTACACTTTTGATGTGTATTGAGGAATAATACAAAGAAAATAACACAAGGCAATTAATTGATATACAATACTGTAAGAAACCAATTCAACCCAAAAGCCCCCTCACACGAGAGCCTACTGGACTTGAAGAGTGGACAACGCACAGGCCCACCTACCTGTGCGAAGAAAGAAATTCCACTACAAAGAAAGTGGGGGGCGATGAGGATTGAACCTGGTACACCAAGGCTCTGATACAATGTAAAGAATCAATTCAACCCAAAAACTTAAGCTGTTGGGTGAGGCCACATTAATGATTTTATATATATCTCAACAAATACAATTTTGTTTATATATTGTTTGTGAGTCGATTTACAAAATTTGGGTTGTGTTATTTGTTTTGCACTAAAACAATGCAAACATTTTTTTAATAAATTTTTATTTATTTTAATATTTATCATTTAATTATTCTCACACTCTAATTTTATTTATAATTTATTAATAATGGTATTATATTTTTAATTAATTTTTGTTCTGGAGTGAACATTAATTGTCTAGCAGGATAGCTAGTATTTGTATCTACGGAGCTTATGGTAAAGATGACAGGCAATGAGAAGTCCTGCACCTTAGGCCAAAGTCCGATGGTATGAACAAGGGTGTGTGTGTGTGAGTCACCTGCGGTGGATAGGATGTGCTCTGGGCACAAGTATGTAGGTTGTAGCCATGGTGACTAGGATAAATTATCAGATGAGTTCCTAGATGAGTTATCAGATGATCCCCCTTGTTAGCTATAGGGGTTATATATATATATATATATATATATATATATATATATATATATGAATGCACTAGGAGATTGAGCACCTAGTGGGTAGTTTGCAGGTGACTTAATGGCATGATGCAATGCTTAGTGGGTGGTTATTGGTAGTGGATGGAAGTTATGGGAGAGTGGTGGAATGAGATGCTCCATGTAGTGGGGATAGGAAATGGGAACCACTTAAGTGGTCCATAACATAAGCCCCCCAGCGTGGCGTTTTGTATATTCGGAATGTCGGGGTAAAAGTAAAGCCTTCGTGCCTATCAAATAATGTTTAGTGTTGTGAAAAAGGATACGAATGCCGGGGAAACCCAGCTTGCGAATGCTTCCGGGTTCCAAGTTTCTTTATTGTGTCGCTCGTTGGTTGTAGTTGTCTCCGGGTTTGTAATTGCTTCTGAGTTTGAAGATAGAGGTGGTTTCTCGGATTTGTCAGCATAAACCTGCAATAAATAAAAATAATAATAGTTTATTGCGTACCTCAGTAGGATATGATAACCCTATATGATGATATCTT